ATTATGCGTCGCAATAAACCTTTCCTTCCCCCCCACCTCCGTGGCTTGTCGCATTGACTCTCCGTGCCGCAGCCGTGCTGAAGTTATCCCATTCCAGGGGAAAAAGGGTTCCCAGAGGGCAATAAAGGGGGGGTGGATTTTGGGGATGGGCGGGGCGGGGCCGCTCCAGGAGGCGGGGCCCTCATAGGGGGCGGGGCCCCCAAGGGGCGTGGCTGCTCAGGGGGCGGGGCCTACCCCGTTTCCGTGTCCGGGTCGCGCCGCGATGTCGGACTCGGAGAGCGAGGAGGATGCGGACGGCGGCCGCGCCGAGCCCTTCTCTCTGGCCGGGTTCCTCTTCGGCAACATCAACGAGGCGGGGCAGCTGGAAGGGGACAGTGTCCTCGACAAGGTAGGGCCGTGTCCCTGCGTGGGGGGGACGGACGGGAGGCGGGGTGCTCGGGGTGTACCGGGACGTGCCAGGGTGAGCCGGGGTGCCCTGGGGTGTACAGGGATGATCCGGGGTGTGCCGGAGTGCTCGGAGTGCAGTGGGATGTACTGGGGTACTTGGGGTGCACCAGGAGGTACCGGACTGTACTAGGAGGTACCGGGGTGACTCAGGGTGACCCGGGGTGTTCGGGGTGTTCGGGGTGGCCTGGAATGTACTAAGGTGAACCGGGATGTACAGGGATAACCCGGGCTGTACCGGGGTGCTCGGTCTGAGCTGGGATGTACCGGGGTGACCTGGGGTGTACTGGGATGACCCAGGATGTACCAGGATGAACTGGGGTGACCCAGGGTGCTCGGGGTAACCTGGGAAGTACTGGGTGAACTGGGTTATACCAGGGTGAACTGGAGTGTTCTGGGGTGCCTGGGGTGACCCAGGATGTACTGGGATGTTCGGGGTGAGCTCGTATGTGCTGGGGTGCTCAGGCTGTACTGGGGTGCTCAGGGTGTCCCAGAGTGTCCTGTGGTGTTTGGGGTGGGCTCCAGGACCGCACCCAGCTGGCCCGGCCTTGGCTGCTGGAGCCTCCCAGCTCTGGTCTCCCCAGGAATCCAAGAAGCACTTGGCGGGGCTGGGCGTGCTGGGACTGGGCAACCTGATCACTGAGATCACAGCCAGCGAGGAGGAGAGCCCGGAGAGCGAGGGAGCACACCTGGACGAGGAAGGTTTGGCACTGGGGTACCTGGGGTTAAAGAGCAGAGGGGGCTGCAGGGTCAGAGCTCTTGCTGGAGAGAAGGAAATGCACCTGGCTCATCAGGGTCTGCAGGGAATGTCATGGTGTTTTACCTGGTCAGAGGGTCTCTGTCAAAGGCCTTGCCTTCTCCTGCTTGCCAGACTGAATGCTACAATATCTCCTGATCAATTTTACACTTGCTTTCTTTAAGTTTTTTGTGTCTCCTCCTTCACTAGTAAGACGTGTTTGCCTCTGTGTTAGAGAAGCCTGTTTAACACAGTGATATAATGTCTCTTTCTTAACTTCTGAACTTGCTGATGGGTGTTCCTTGTGCTAAAGTTGTTCGCTTTCCAATCCTTGTGGGGAGTTCAAAGCTGTGGGAGTTCTGGGTAGAACGAGGGGAAAGGTGCTCGGGTGGGAAACCGAGTTTTTTGTTCCTCCAGGTGAAGGAAGCAGAGGATTCACATGTACTTAGTGAAGTCTGCAGTTAGGAATGTACATTAGGGTGAAGTTTTGTGTGACGAGGCTTCTCTTCTCCCTAGGCTGGGTGAAGAGCACGGAAGATGCTGTTGATTACTCAGACATCACCGAGGTGGCAGAGGACGAGAGCCGGCGCTACAAGCAGGCGATGGGCAGCCTGCAGCCAGCTCGAAGGCCAGGTAAAGAGGGGATCTAGTGCCTCTTGGAGCTACTCAAAGATAGAAACATGGTCCCATTTCCTAAGAGAGTCATCTCAATTTCTTTCTTCTGTTTTCTTTTTCTTTTTTTTTCTTTTTTCCTGAGATGACTTTCTGCAGAAGGCACTTTGGTTCCACATTTTTCTTTTCTAGTAGCTTTATTTGCTCTGCAAAGTGTGAACAAAAGGAGGTGATAGCAGAATATATACATATATATTTTAAGTGCTTCAGACATCTTTATGTCAGTTTATTTTTTTCCCCTCCTTCTCCCTCTTTCTTAAACTTCCATCATACAAATGGGTTTGTGCAGGAAGCTGAACTGGTCCGAGTTTTGCATCCAATTGCAAGATAAGAATGGTGTCCTTGCCATCAGGTTGGGAACAGGTTTGAGATAGTGTAAGTGGAAAGGGTGCCTGGTTTCCTTTTATTATCTGCTTAATAAGCAGTCCTGTCTCCTCCCTGATCAGATGAAGACGAGGACGATTACGATGCCGACTGTGAAGATATCGATTCCAAGCTGATGCCGCCGCCACCACCACCTCCAGTACCTGGAAAAAAAGAAGATGAAAAGGATGCAGCTGCCACTGGTGAGTGAGGGCTTTCTTCTTCTCTCTGGCAATGTGAGTGTCTGAAGGAAGCGAGGGCTGCTGTGCAGCAGTTCCTTCTGTGGCAGGGACCACCCATCATCCCAACCCCATCTGCAGAGCTGAAGGTGAGTGCTTGCCCTGAGGTGGGAAGTTACAGGACTGTGTGACATGTGGGGTGAAGTTTTGTGTTGTTGAAATACCAGTGTTGACCATGAAACTGCTTTTTTTTATCTCATCCTCTCAGTTGTGGCTGGGAAATGCACCTGGAACGCTTAGGATGAAAGGAAAGGTTAAACCAGAATGGTACTGCTTATGCCTGCAAAGGCTTAACTTTTGCATCAGTTGGTATAAACAGTAGATGTGGCATTATGGGGTTATGCTAGGGGAGAGGGAGGAGACCTGTTTTGTTTATAAGGTGCTTGTTCTATCGTAGTATCTGAAGGTGGTATCATTTTGCCCTCCATCATTGCTCCTTCCTCTGCTGCCTCCGACAAGGCGGATTTCAGCAGCAGCTCTGATTCTGAGTCAGAGATGGGGCCTCAAGAAGCCAGGCAGGCAGAATCCCAGGAAGGCAAACTCACCCTTCCTCTTGCAGGAATCATGCAGCGAGATGCTACCAAGCAGTTGCCAAGTGTTACAGAGCTCTTCCCAGAATTTCGGCCAGGCAAGGTATTGTAAGAGATCCGTGGAGGAGATGTGTGTCATGTAAGCCCTCTAAGTGTGAATTGTACAGTACTAAGGGTATGTACTAAATAATCACATATTCTTGCTCACTCAGTACTTCCTTTAGTTTCTGTGTGCTGTTGTTTCCAGGTTGCTTAATATTTAATACTTTTCCTGCCATTTGCAGGCACCTCTTAAAAAGCATCCTGTAAGATCAGGGTGTGAATGTTTTGCTGTTCTGTAAGACCACAGGCCTGTTGGTTTGATATTTTGCCAGATGATTAAAAACCAGTGCTAATCTGCCTGCTTTCTGGCTTTTTTTGGCAAATACTTGCTGCTTCTCTGCTGAGCTGGGTGTGCTTTTCCTGAAAACAATTTGTGATCTGTGTAATTTATTAAATTTTCCCCTCAAAACTCCGTTGAGTACAAATCAGAAATCAGCTCAATAGCAAGTTGGCTGAGAGAATGCTTGGGTTTTGCACAAAGCAAATTCATTACAAGACTTTCCCAAGTGCTCCCAAATATAAAATGTGGTCAATGTATTTCGATAATTATTTTGAAAGTTTTAAATCTGTGAAGAGGAGAGGAAAGGTAGGAGGAGAAGGAGGATGAAGATGAG